CGACGTCAGGTGAATATGTGATGAGTGGGGTAGTTGGCGTACCAGCCTTTCCAGCTAATCCATCCACACGTCCGAGCACAGAGTGGTCGAGCATTATTCATCACAATCGAATATTTCCTTGTAATGAGTGTGAACTGAGGCTCGAAACACCATCTCTAACAGTTGTAATCAAAGTACTCCCGCGTTCCCGCAGTACACTGTGGTAGGATCACCACGTAAAACACTCGATTGAGCACAGGAAGAGCGGTAGCGTTATGTCCACTAGGTAGGCATTGCCTTTTCCTGTGTGGACTTTCATATGGCATCTACTTTCTTCATTCTGAGCAGTAATGAAGTCCGTTGATGTCGTCTTACAGTCAAGGAGCTTCTGAAACACATTGAATGCTCGACGCTCGTGCTTGGTCAAGGATGTGCGATATTTGCAAAGGGTCCTGCTTTGAAGGTGACTATTGTCTAGAACGTAGTGAGTAATGGAGAGGGGAGTAGCGGCGGTCTTTTCCAATTCCTTACACTTTGAGGAGGATTGCTCTGACTGGAGGCCAGAACTGTGTTGGTATTTGAGGACAGTGAGCGTTCTCTTCGACAAACTTCGTCGAAGCAAATCTCTTCTTAGAGGAAGCAATCGTGCAGGAAGCATTCATGGAAGGTGACAAGAGAAGGTCACCGCTGTCAACCAGTCACCATATCTCATTCCAAGCCTGAGTATCGAAGCGATCAGTTTCGTAATGAAGAAGCAGAAGGCTCCGGTGGTCGCAACGGTGGCACATTCTTCGGTCAAAGTAGTACTTCTCTCCCCTACTTATGTGCACTTTAAGCAACTTGTTAAGAAGGAATTGCTGAGTTTTATTATATATAGATGTATGAGGTTTTATAGCGTGTGGTTGCTTGTTTCTCACTACCTTATGTAGCATATAAACAAATAAACAAATAAACAAACAAACGCCTAATACCGATCAGCTGTAGTATTGATCTATCGACAATGTACTTTCCCTACTATCGAATCTAAATCCCTTCTTCAGCCATTCGCGAGCAACATGCTTTCAAAGTTGAAAGGCAAAATTTTCTTAAAACTTCCCGGACACCCTAATAAAACAGCAGATTTTTGCGCAGCATAATTAAGGGCTCCTGTCTCTTGTTGGCAAAAATGAGCAGTAGTAGTGAGAACTGATATGTATTTAATAGGTAGAGATAGAAGAGTATCCGTTAGTCTAGTCCGGCCTTAGTGAAACCAGGGCAAAATAGTCCTTTGACGTGTAGGTCGATCATAGTAGACCTATAGCTTTGTTCGACCAAAGACTTCCAACACCTCTTTTCAAGGACCTGAAAATACTTCTTTAACTAATACGCCGAACTCGCCACCTCGTTAGAGTAGTTTCAGCTTTTTCTTTGTCGAAATCTCACGACATTCTAACCAGAAGACCAGCTTCTGCGATTCCGCAATTTTCAATTCTCACTATAAGAAAAGAAACGAGGATTAATCACTTTGATGACACCTGCTTCCTTTACACCTCGGTGAGCTAAAAGTAAAGTAAATTTTCCAGGGATGGCACTGGAGAGCCACCGCTAGCGAAGCGCTTCATCGAAAGCACGAAGAGGTTCGCATTTTTTTCTTACCTTTTTCTTCATTGGAACGGGGCACATGTCGCTCGTATCCACTCGAGTTTAGCTAATAATCTCTTCCAGAGGATTTAACTGATATTGGCAAGAAAATCAGTGGTACTTATGGCCTCAACATAACTTGCTTAACAAAATGGTGCCTTCTTTTCTTCCGAAGACGACCTTGAGAAATAATTATTTAAAGGACCGTTCGGGGTGGAATAAAGTTCAAGACATTCCGTTTTCAAATGTATCTGAACAAATACCAATCGAGGTGTTACCTTTTCCTAGATGAAGTGACTACATGATCCAGAGCTATTTTTTATTTACCCTCTGTACCCCAGAAGTGAAACATTCCTGAGAACTAATGTCTAAATTTAAGCTCAGCGAAAGGCCCTCTCCAAGGCCACTCACCTTATAGCACATTGGGAGGCGTTCGACTCGACCTGGAAGCGGCTTCTGGATCGACTAAGGTAAAAACTTACACAAACTGTCATTTTTCACTTGCCGATACGTGATTACGAGAGCATATTCCCACTGAATCCGCTTTGTAACCAATTCACTGACTATATCATTGATCAATGAACTCGAGCGATCAGATCTAGGAAGTTTTCTATCGCACTGGGTGACTACTTGAGCTTTGCACTTAAAAAAATCCAACGTTTATCTAGCCTGAGATATTCTTCACCACATATTTACACCGAGGTCCACGAGAAGGACGTTTTTAGAACCCATGGTGAGGTGGGGCCACGAGGAAGTCCTCTTACCAAATATAACTCCCTCATCCAAAACCTTTTCATCGATCACTGGCTCTTGAATGAACGGTTACTTGGGAAGGGGAAACGTGGTTGGGGAATTTGGAGCAGTCCCCAACATATATGTATGTATATGTATGGTCTACTCTAATATCTAGCGGTCTCATAAGTTCAAGTCCGAAGTGAGCTTTCTTGAATAGGAAACAATCGCCTTCACTTTCCCCAACCTTGAACTGGGATGAAAGAATCAGAAAATGATCGCTAGTTGAATGTCAAACGTTGAAGGTAGATTGGTAGTTACTGGTCTATAATTTGCAGAAAAGTTTCCCTTTGCAATACCCACTCGAAGCTCAAAATGTCTGATTACTAGGAGCAATATGAACGGAACACCGACAAGATGGTCTAAGAATGACCACAACTTTTGAAGATTATCCCTCTATTCAGAAAACAAGGAGTCCAAATGAGCCCTGGAGACATTTTTACTGTTTTGTTGCTTGTTTTTGTTATGTTGTTGTCTTTTCAAGTCAAGACCTCTTAGAAACCTACGACGTTCTAGATGAAACGACGCTTTTTCGAGGAACAAATCGCGAAAAATAGTATAACAGATCGACTTCTACAACGCAAAATACAATTAGGCTTGACAACATACAGTACGTCCTTTCACGTATCATTGTGATCCACAAATGTAGAACCGACGTTTCGCTTTGCAGATGGAGCTCCAAGTGAAAGTACAGCCGGTTATGATAGCGTGGAAGCGGATTTCGCAGGAGGTGTGAGTAATACGGCTAGTTCGAGAACATCGCCAAGGTAAGCCTTCCAATTAATCCATCATTTTCCCTCCAAGGACTGTTTGCCGTTACTGATCGGCATCTGCAACATCTGGAAATGTTGCCTCTCGATCGCGATGGTAATAAAACATGACATGACTGATGAACATATGCTCCCTGCTGTAGACTACGGAAACGTATCAGGGACATTAGAGAAACAATCCATCCCACGGGAGCAGTTCCGACGAATCCAGGACAGAAAGATGCTCCGCTACCCTTGAAACCACAGAATTTAGACTCGGACTTCTCTGTCTTTCCTACAAAACTGGAAGTCGAACGTGATCGGAGTAGGGTTCACCTCCCTCATTTCTCGCTTCAGTGCGATTGAGTGACTGAACAGCTGTTCCGATCGGAAGGATAGATCGCCCTCAACCAGTGTTTACACTAGCAAAAAGAAAAAGGCGACGACGATTTCTACGAGTGATGAGCAGCCGAATTTCGTGATCAATTTGCTGCCGTCGTCTCATCTCATTGATCCTTTATGTTGCAGTTCCTTTGCCGATCTAAGTACCGTGTCGACTTTTATCTTGGAGATATCTCATATCAAATCCCTACGACTCCAAAAAGGGGAAGGAGCCACTAGAGTCTCGGGATAAACGGTTATGAGCGGATGAAATTAGAAAATATTAATCTAGTGAGAAGAAACAACCTGTTTTTGCTCTCGGTATCTCTCTAGCATTCGAGGGTTTCCTACATATCGAATAGTCTCCAGAAAAGGATAGCATTGGCTTTCTACTCAACCACATATTTATTATCAAAATTTCGCCTCCCATGCCGATTCATATCCCATTTTAGTTCATTTCACTTGAATTCATTTCTTTTTTCTCACGCTGTCGTCCTATATAATGCGAGATGACATTTGTTATTTTCTACCGCTTCCAAACAAGTTCAGTTCAATCGAAAGCGGAGCCGTCGTCATAATTGGTAATGTCAGCCACACAAAACGAAAATACTAGGGTGAATGTAGCATGGCCTTGGAAAAACTGCCGGAGAAAAGGAGAAACTGACCGAGGCCACTTCCCAGCACCTCGAGAACCAGCTTTCTAGATGTTCATCTGGCTTCTTTGGCTTTAATTTAATTTCGCTGTTTTGAGCTGAATGTAATGATTGGCATCCTATGTTCCCTTTTTGATAAAAGTGCTCCCTTATATATATTACTGTTGAGAGTCGATTTGACTCAATTGCAAACGATTTCTTCGTTGAGTATAGCGCCTGTACTCGTTTCAGTGTTACTCAGGAAAGGGCGTAATTTTGTAACCCTATTGAAACAGGTTAATTAGAGACCCTTTGCCCCCTACGGCTCAGTTTTCATGGAGCTCTGAGCTGAAAAGTCAGTTCAGCTCAATTGCAACTGGTTCCTTCATTGAGTATAAAATCGTGTGGGACACTCAGGCTAGCTTTCGGCAACAAGACAACTAACTTGAACATTTATTGGCAAAAGAGGTCTGCTCCGGCTTCAATGCATTTTTGTAGAGCTCTGTTAAAAATTTCATAGGCATTTTATTGCTTGAAGCATTTTTCTGAAGTATTGAGCGGTTTCAGCATTGTGGTTGGCTGTGAGTTCGAGGACATCACTATCGCTGAGGGCCTGAGAGAAGGTATGCGTTTTGATCGAACTGCCTGCCAATGTGCAGTTCTTCCGAAAATAAATAATCACGGCGCGCTCGAGTAGTGCTCAGCAAGTGTAAGAAAGCGGTTGTGTAACAGCTGCGAGAGCATTGCTCGGCGACTCCATTCATAGCTGTTCAATCATTTAGTTCGGGATTAACCAGCCCTCTTTATAGAGTAATGAAACTACCAAATTCTCCTTCGAGATGTCATTTCACTTTAGACTTTTATTCAGAATTTTGGTGATGTTCGAATGCCGCATATATTGCCTCTTCAATGAACTATGAACCCTTGTACAAATCAGCCTTTCCCCACCTAGACCAGCGTGGTACAAATAAATTCACCGCAAATTGGGAGGAGGGTTGGGATGGGGGGGGGGGATGGGTGGTGAAAGCTGAGGTAACCTGGCCTAGTATCGATCCAGAATTCGATGTTTGGACCTCCTCATGTACGTACTGTAGCAGCGACTTTTAGCTCTACGAGACATTCACCACCCACAGAGTAGACGGGTTAAGGTTTTAGTCCGATCTTCAGGAATTTTTCAAGTCCCATAAATCGTAACTCATTACTTCTGTGCGCTGCACAGATGAAACACTTAGTCCCAGATAAAGGCCCTATTCCATCAGCAGGATGGTATGCACCCGTTCAGATTTAGGACAAGCATGCTCATTATTAGGAACTCGGAAGGCTAAGTGGTTTCAGATTTGACGGCTGACCGCTTAGTCTAAGAGTTTGTGAAGGGAGCCGGTTTTTTTCAACTGCGCCTCATCATTTTTACGCTCGCAAGCTTTTTCAAACCTTCAGTAGAGGTGGACACTCTTTTCTGCCCAGGTGCTGTATTTCAGGAAAATTTTCGCATTCTTTCTTCTTGGCCATGCCCTTCCATCCAGCTTCTCGAGATTGCAGCACTTAAACGATATGTTTAAGTTAATAAGTGGCGTCTCGTTCAGAAGTGATTTCCTTCGAAGATCTCAGAGGCACTTATTGCGTAGTTCGATAAGAAAAAAACTTTTCGTTCGTATTTGTTGCCGTCATAGTGGCAGAGCGTTTGATTTGGGAGGGTCCTGTCGAATACGGTACAGGGATTTGNTCTGCCCAGGTGCTGTATTTCAGGAAAATCTTCGCATTCTTTCGTCTTGGCCATGCCCTTCCATCCAGCTTCTCGAGATTGCAGCACTTGAATGATATGTTTAAGTTAATAAGTGGCGTCTCGTTCAGAAGTGATTTCCTTCGAAGATCTCAGAGGCATTTATTGCGTAGTTCGATAAGAAAATACTTCTCGTTCGTATTTGTTGCCGTCATAGTGGCAGAGCGTTTGATTTGGGAGGGTCCTGTCGAATACGGTACAGGGATTTGAATTCTTGCTATCTTGGTCGTGCTCACGTACAGATGGTCCTGGAATCATTCCTGGTAACAGCCCCTAACTAACAAAGTTTATTATGTAGTCATTTTCGAACTTTTTCCCCTCTTCTTGGTCTTTTACGATTCTTCAAACTAACACATTTGCCCACATGGGTCAAAGTAACAACATGTGTTCATCGCAATTTAACACCTGCGATTGTGGTTGTCCTCGTGGGCGATGGATCTGCCAACGACATTTCTGCCCCAGTTCATTCGAAATTCTCATCTGCTTCGGCCTTCCAGTTTCCTTCCGGCATTCATTAGAAGAGCGTGAAAACTACGCTTACACATGCCACACAAATCTATGAGGGGTGGGGGGTGGGCGAAGTCATTTTACTGGGAGTGACCACCCATACATTCTTGGACTTCAATTATGAGACTTCATTTTCACTCTAAAAGCAATCGCACAAATCGCTAAAGAATTAGTATTTGTGGTATCAAAGCCAATTTTTCCCAAAAGTCCTTGAGAAGGAACCCGATCGAGGGCAACATCCGACCGTAGGTCTCCAACCGCAGATAGTTCTATTCTTTTCGTGTTGAGTATATTACGAGAAGTTACGAGGTTACACAATTGTCCCATGCTCCTTATTTACTAGCTTACTGATTCAATTAAATTTTTCACCCTCATTTTCGATAGAATTGCCTTTCAGTGTTGAGGACGCCAGTGCGCCAGACGGCGACGATGTCGTCGGTCGACGGGCCAAGGAGCGAAACTGTGGTAAGCTCAGTGTTTCCTTGACTAAGTGTCGGTTTTGATTTCGCGATTGTCGCGCAGCGGATGTTGCCATTTGACTAGCCCATTGTGTTTTCACCTTTTACCGTTCGGAAATTAATGGTCCGAATAGGGCCGCATTACGTGAGGATGAAGGTCGTCACGCATCAGGTAGCCGCATCCCAACCGGTAATGAGCTTCCGTTTCTGACAATGTCCATCCCGCCTAATCAGCCCCGTCGACACAGATCAGACTGGGGAGTTCTCATGTTCGCTCGTGATGGAGCGCTCTTCATGATCACCCTACTTTCTCAGTTTTCGAACCTCAACCACTTCTTATCCTCCTCTTCTCACTTATTGGCCATCTGTTCTTGCCTCGTAGCATTCGTACTTCTTATCGAACTGTGCAAATGAATTTTCAACGTACTTGATTCACCATTTAGTCACTAAACAAACATTCTGTCTCCACACATTTTCATTTTCAACATTTCAATTTTCGATTTTAATCGATTCGATTTCAACAGCCTTTGATGAATTGATTGTGACGTTGGCTTGTAGAAAAATGCTCCTCTCACAGCCGTTCGAGTCTTTTGTTTACCTTCACGTATAACCCGAACAAAAGAGATTAGCAACGGGTTTTCTGCCTTTAAGATCAATACGATAAGGAAAAACGGCACAGTTGAATGAGCGTGTTCTACCAATATGGTGAAGTTTGTTGCCCAGAGGGTGATATTGACAGAGGAAGCCTTCTTTTTACACATGCGTTGCTTTCCAGCCTGAATCCCCGAAGACAGCTCACCTAGTCCCCGAATGGCTATCTGTTTGCATCGATTGCAAAGCTGTCGGTATTCCGTTGATTTGTGGCCGAAGTTGCTTGCAATTCAGCCATGGAGTGAGCGTTTTCCTTCCCAGTACATCAGGGTTTCTCCCAAAGCCGCTGATCGCTTTTGATTCTTGTGTATTGTGATTTTTCGGTGTTTTCGAAGTG